GGTGATGGTATCTCTGTTCATTTTGACTGCCATTCACTAGATGACATGCCTTACCAGGCAATACTGAGGCTTGCGACACACCCGTGAAGAAAGCAGGGAAACGCTCAGCTGCTGCAGCTGCTGGCCTGCGGTGCGGGCTGCTGGCAGTGCTCCTTACAGATGGGGGCACTGCTACTCCAGGCGCTCTGCGAAGGCACAGCATCCTTCCTGCAAAGCTCTGCCTGTGTCAGGGTGAAAATGCATGCAGAACCCTTGCCCACATGCGCTGTCTTCTGCAGGGGCACCATAAGAGCAGATGTTTAAGCTGGTCTATGCTCATGTTGGCAATGAGGCACAGAGCGGGTTCTGTCTGCCAGCTGGAAGCACTCGATAAGATCTCTCAGTCTCCCCAATGCCAGCCGTCAACCCTGCTCTGCACCCCTGTAAATAACATTTACATAGCATTTGGTATATGTTTTGCCCATTCTCTGTTGTCTCACCACAAATTTTGCATGCACCTAATGAAACAACAGTTAGAAAGAGAAGAGTTAACTACCTGACATACAGTCAAATGCCAATGCACTGGCAAATGTGGGCAAACAAACAAAAACACAGTGTTTCTGATACTTGTTTTTTGGCATTTTTCTTTACCAGGGCTTTCTTCCACTAATTGCAACCCCAAAAAAACCAGCTACTCCTGACAGCATAAGAAAGATGTAAATTAACAAATTAAAGCTGTCATCTTTACCTGCTTTAACAAATTAGAGCTGTCATCAGGATCTACCTCTTTTGTGGGTTAGTTGTCCATAGCCAGGGTTTCTTTCACAGCCACTGAGCACAGGCGGTCCTGACAAATTTGGAGACATCTTCTTTAACTTCTAAAGAAGAAATAAAAAGACACTTCCAGAAAAGTCAGTGACTCAAGTCCAGCTCCCAGTCTTGGGGTTTCTGGCAACCTCTGAGCTTTGACATGCTCACCATAGCTGAGACACACAGCTGTGTTCACATGGTGCTCGTACCTACAATGGGGAAAGCTGTTTTGCTCAAGCACTGGCCTTGATTTTTTTCTGATGGATGTAGAGGACAGAAGTTGCTGACCTTCAAACACATTTTGTCTTCATGGGCTGTGGACACTTATCTCAAAAGAGGTGCCTATCTTTCCTATAGCTGAAGGCAGGCTGAGCCCTTGGCATATGCACACAATGCCATAATGAGTATTCTATTCCATTTGGGACCCATGAGGAGTCAGCTGCGTACCTGAGTACCTGGGCGTTTCTCCCCAAAATTACCTGGCCTCATACCTTCAATGCACCTCATGCCCAGGCAAATACACTGCAAGAGACTGGACCAGTAATCTCCAAAGCCCACTGCTTCCATCTCAGGAGCAAAACGGAAGGACAGAGACACAGTAATGATAAATGGGCAGGTTAAACTGTGAGCATTTGATTGGTCAGACTAGATAGAGACAGCTGGAGCTGACCATCTGCATAACTAATACTCTGTTCACAGATCTCACTTGTTACATAGTGGACCCTTCCTTAATATAAAAAAGGCCTGAGGTGAGCCATAGCCAGTAGCAGGGAAAAGAAACGGAGCCAGTCTCTGGCTCCAGTCCCACCACATGCTTCTCCTCAGTTAAGGACACTTGAACAGGTCACACTGCCACATTTTTGAGAATTTCAGCTGTGGTCTGTCATTTGAAGCTGTTGAGGCTGTGCTCCTTCCTGGACCCACTGTCTATTCCCAAACACATCATTTAGATTAAGGTTCAGCAGCAGATGTTTGGGATGTGAATCAGCTCCAGATACAACTCCTACAGTAGCCAAATGTACTTTATATTCCTAACATCCACTGTAGTCACGGGAATCGGTCAAAACACGAGTACAGAATAAACACAGTGAATAAAATCTAGGGTCTTCTTATGCTGACCAAACCTAGGGTTAGCTTTAGTATAGGTCCTGTTTGTGCTTTGAGTTTCAAAAGTGTCTTGTTTTTTTGAATTTTTGTATATTAGTTTGCATTATTCTACAGTAGTTATGTGTTTCTTCCAGTGCATCGGTGCTAAGCAAAATTGTTCTATCCCTCCCATCTACCAACCCCTAGGCACTGCTGGTGACCCACTGCTCCAGGTGAATTTCAAGTCAGCCCATTCATTGTTATTTCTCCCACAGAGACAACACAGCAAAAAGCAAAGCTCACTAGAGTCGTGTCCCCCCCCAGCCCTTTGCGGTACAGAGTCTGAGTCCCAACTCAGGGAGGCAGAGGCCCAGTCAAAAAAATAGGGTGGAGATGTTGGTCTACTGTTAGTTTGGCAAACATTAGGTTTGGAGCATCCGCTGTGAACTATTATACCTATTGTGCTATGCTGTTGGAGCTATCACTATGCACTTCAGCCATGGTAATGTGTTCTCAGTTATTATCCCTTCATGAAACGTACTTTAACTGTAACTGGATGGCACTAAACTAAGGTAGAAAGGGCTTGTTAATTTATGTTCTCTGTGCAGGAGTTAACCAGAAATTGGGTAATCTCTGAAAACATCACTTCACAAGCCTTCCTCAGACACATGCTGACAGCACAGTGGTACAGGCAGCCTGCCTACAGGGCTGTCGGTGAATGGAGCACATGCCACTTGGCTGGCACAGTGAGGATGTCTGCATCCAACCTGCGCTGGCAGCTCTGCACATGCTCTGTCTGACAGCCCAGTCCCACTCACCCTCTGAGGCTTGTTTTCTACGGGCAGAGCTCTGCTGCTGAGGCTGGGTAGCTGCAGCATCTCTCAGAGCTGCTCATAGGCAGTTTCACTCACTGAAGCTAAGACGTTTTTCAGAAGCTCAGTTAAGCTTCCAGGGATCTCATTTGAAGAGGGTGCATAGCAAACAGAATATACCATTCCCATTAGGATAGTGATAATGTCCTCGCTTTGACAACAATCTTCAGCGGTAAAGCAAGTTCAATTCTCTCACAAGAAGACTGGCGACAGCTACCGTTGCATTATTTACTATTATATATGGGATGCTTCCCTGAAAACCCTGGAGATGTCATTTGTGTGGTCTGGTTGTAAATAATGAGATAGACCACAATGGATTTCAGTACCTCATCAGTGTTTGATCAGCACAGAGGTAAGTGACCTGCTACTAATTTCAAAATCTTCTGGTCCTCCCATACATCCCATCAAATGCACAAGGATTACTTGACAGAATTAATAACAACAATTTTTGGAAAAGATTACGTCTCACAGAGATTTATTTTGGTTACATGTGAAGGAATTTCTTTATTCAGATTTAGACATGGGTATTTCAGCCTATTGCTGCAGTATTTTCTTTTTAAATAATATTTTTTCGGCAGAATAGTAAGAGCATCAAATTTCTGCTTAGCATCAAGAGATGTATGTATAAATTTATATTAGGTATTGGTCTTCATGTATGTGGATATATATAAAAAATGCCATATTAGCAAACAGAGCAGTTTAAAATGGAGTAAAAATTTAAGAAAAAAATATTTTCCCAAGTTTACTAGTTTGTGTACATTGAAAGGACTAGATGCTGTCAAGTGATCAGCCTTGCTTCAGGAAATCTTAGCTGTATAGGTAAGTATTGCTGTAACCGTGAGTTTAAATCATTTTTTAAATCCCCAACATGAAGATATTCTACATGGTAACGTTGCTATGGAAATATGAATGTCTCTTTGTTTTCTGTTTTTTAAGTTAAACATTTGAATTTCATGTCACTGTTTGCCAGTGCAACCTTTTGTGTCTTACGGCTTAATCTACTCAGAGGAGCGTAGTGGCAGTCCTTTTATGTTCCCAAAGCAGGTAGCTGTCATTGCTTGTTTACATGTGTTGCAACAAATCTCTCTTTAAGTCAGCTTGCCAAAATTATTTGCTTGCAGGGGCTACAGTTTCTCGTGCATACCTGCAAAGTGTCCGAGCTGACATGGGTGCTTGCCTACGGCTCTACTTTTGAGCTTGCCTATGCTGCTTTGGTGTACCCACAGTAAAAACACTCCATGTAGAGCAGTGGACTTAAAGCTGCCTTTCAGCCACAGTAGTGCTCAAAGCCTGAAGCAAGTCTTGAGAGCACACCATCCCAGACAGAGCCCCACCCCGAGCAGACAGGGAGCAGTGGGAAGCCATCAAGTAAAACTGAGTGACAAAAGGCAAAAAAATCCTACCAGCAAGGATAAATGAGAAAGGGAAGTGCAACAGGAGAAGGGGGATCTGTACTGCAGGAATAGAGACAGGTGCCCCAAGGTCATGTGTGAGTCACGTATGGAGCATTTTCCCAAACAGGACAGAGGTGTGGGGCTGACTGAGCTGCTGAAGCTCCAAACAGCCATTCTAAAACTCTCTGTCTGCATGCACAAGTATGCTCTGTGCCACACATCGACCCTACAGTGCTCAGACTGGGAAAGCAGAGGGGAAACCCTGAACAGTCAGTGCTAGGGGGATGGCTGCCAGGGAGCCAGTGGCAGTGATGCTGGGTATGAGGATGGAATGTGATCAGGGCTGGGGAATAAGTCAAGTCTCCAGGTGGATAAAGGTGCAGAAAGCAGTGCAGGAGACCACTGACCTTAACTGCCATATATGGATAGAAGTAAGAGAGTTAGGAGGCAACATATGCCTGTACTACCCTTGCTACTGATCAGCAGCCTTTTCTCCTGCCAGGCCACTCTCCATACTGACCTATCCTTATTCCTGTCCAGCATCATCTCCAGGCCCATCTTACACTCCTCTCATACCACCTCCGCAACAAGAGTCCCCTCCAGCTAAATTCGCCATCACCACCACACCAGGGATGCTGGCTTATTAGATGATTTGTGACTTACTGTTTGCCTTCCTTGACAGCTGTGCTGTGTGGGAGGCAGATGGAGAGCAGCAGCAAGCAGCACACAGTAATGGGACAGTGAAACCACTGGTTATCATGCAAAGAAAGTGATATTCAAAATATACAGCCTGTGGTGGATTTTATCTGAACAGCACGTTAATGTCTCATCACATTACTGATACAAGCAGGCACAATTTTTTTAGTAAGGAGAAAGGGAGTATCTTTCATTGGCATGATTTATAACAGTGAAAGAATACACATGAGTGAATGAATGATCATCATTCAAACACACCAGATCAATCTGTTGGTCCAGTAAAGTAATTCAACCCTCCCTACAAACCTTTCTCCACCCCAAATATCGGGAAACTATCCCAGTTACAGATCAAATGAACAGTATCCCAGGCTTGAAAAGCATACTGTCTCTTTACAACACTTCCTATGGTACAGCTCATTAATATAATACCTACCAGTATTAACAGCAGAGCAAGTTATAATTCTCAAAAACTGCACTTACACACATCCTGCTGACCCTTGACACTGACATGCTGAAATCAAATAAACTGCCTAGTACTGTGTGCTACTGATGAGCTGTGGGAAATCACATACGGCATTTGGCTACCAGTGAAAAGAAGGCGGCTTATAGGAAAGAGGGGAGTAAATAATATACACCAATATTTCTCCTTCACAATGAACATAAATTACACTGTATTCTGGCCTTCTGTTTTCAAAACCTACTGTTTTAGCAAGGTTGAAATCAATCATTGTCAAGACCATGTAAAATAAGCTACAGCAAATTCCAATGCAGGAGAAAGCACACACTTACATACCTCCAATGTGTGCTTTGTAAAACAACACATCAGCCAACACAGCAAATCGTGTAGAGCATGCATTCATCACAGGAGAGTCTGAGGAGAACTAATTTCACAAGCAGTGTAATTTCATTGCTCTGAATCCTGTGATCATTCTGCTTGTATCTTTATATAAACCCTTTCCTAACCAAAATTACTTTGCCTTAAAGGAATCACGTATTTTCAAAATACTGCACTTTATTTCAGATAAATCGGCTTTTAAGATTGATTTTTTCTGGGGATTGTAGCTACAAAAGCTGCCACAACCTGTATGTCATTTGGTCTATTCACTAAGATTCTTCCAGATCTTTCCATGCCACTGCTGTTCTAGCCTGCATTTTCTCTCTATCCTTGCTCCATACATGGGCTCTCAGTTGGACCTTCTGCCTTCCTGAAGCTGACAGCTTCTTTTTACCAGTAGCACAGCAATTTTTCAAAATAAAACATAAATGTATCTGAGATGGCACCAGTATTCACTGGCATTTACAGAACTGCAAAACAATAAATGAAGTAATGCTAACACATTTGAGGATGGAGAGTCAGGCATTTGGCTATTCACAACCCCTTTATCCCACTTAGTGCTGATGCCCCAGTCACAGCTGAGTTCCCCAGCAGGTTAAGCTCACAAAGGGGGACACAAGTGCTCAGTACCTCACTGTCACCTTCTGCAGAACACCCATTCTGCATGCCCAGGGATGTGTCTGCAAAATTAAACAGCCTACAAGCTTTGTGCTTATGCCCCCTTATTCCTTGTTGGGGTAAGCTGCAGGAAGATGAAGCAGGAGAAATTACATCCTGGCATTTCCTACTCCCTGCCATCTGAAGCATCAGAATACCACATATCTATCTTCCTCATAGCCTCCTACTCAATGCTCATGTTCAAGACACCCCACTTAAAATCATGTCACCCTATAGAAATTGAGTTAGTGTCAGTCTACCTTATGTCAGATGCACAGTGTGGGTGCTCATCAAGTCCTCCTGGCCCAGTCTCCCTCACCAACAGGGTGACAGCCTGGTTCCTCTGCATTTTCTAGCTCTGACAGCTAGGATTCGGCTGGGAAAGTTGGGGCTCTTCAGCCTGGAGAAGAGAAGGCTGCGTGGAGACCTCATAGCAGCCTTCCAGTATCTGAAGGGGGCCTATAGGGATGCTGGGGATGGACTCTTCATTAGAGACTGTAGTGGTAGGACAAGGGGTAATGGGTTAAAACTTAAACAGGGGAAGTTTAGATTGGATATAAGGAGAAAATTCTTTCCTGTTAGGGTGGTGAGGCACTGGAATGGGTTGTCCAGGGAGGTTATGAATGCTTCATCCCTGGCAGTGTTCAAGGCCAGGTTGGATGAGGCCTTGGGTGATATGGTTTAGAGCGAGGTGTCCCTGTCCATGGCAGATGGGTTGGAACTTGATGATCTTAAGGTCCTTTCCAACCCTAACTATTCTATGATTCTACAGGGAACTGTGAATCTTGGATGTGGCTTCATGCCACTGTAGCTTAAGAAGAGTGGAGCTCATGATCTGTAAGCACAGGCATGGGGAAAGCTTCAATCATTCATCCATTTATTTAGTTTTCAAGATGAAATCCATCCACGGGTCCTGAAGGAGCTGGCAAATGAAGTTGCTAAGCCACTGGACATCATATTTGAAAAATCATGGCAGTCAGCTGAAGTTCCCGATGACTGGAAAAAGGGGAATATAACCCCTATTTTCAGGAAGGGGAAAATGGATGACCCAGGGAAATACAGACCAGTCAGTCTCACCTCTGTGCCTGGCAAAATCTTCGAGCACATTCTCCTGGAAGGCATGCTAAGGCACATGAAAAACAACAAAGTGCTTGGTGACAGCCAGCATGGCTTCACCAAGGGGAAATCCTGCCTGACCAATTTGGTGGCCTTCTATGATGGGGCTATGGAACTGATGGACAGCGGTAAAGCAGTTGATGTCATCTACCTGGACTTGTGCAAAGCGTTCGACACTGTCCCACACGACATCCTTGTCTCTAAATTGGAGACACATCAGTTTGATGGATGGACCACTCGGTGGATAAAGAACTGGCTGGATGGACGCATGCAAGGAGTTGTGGTCAATGGCTCAGTGTCCAGCTGGAGACCAGTAACGAGTGGTGTCCCTCAGGGATCGGTGTTGGGACCGGTCTTGTTTAACATCTTCATCGCTGACATAGACAGTTGGATTGAGTGCGCCCTCAGCAAGTTTGCCGATGACACCAAGCTGTGTGGTTTGGTTGATACGCTGGAGGAAAGGAATGCCATCCAGAGGGACCTTGACACGCTTGTGAGGTGGGCTGATGCCAACCTCATGAAGTTTAACCATGCCAAGTGCAAGGTCCTACACCTGGGTCGGAGCAATCCCAGGCACAGCTACAGGATGGGCAGAGAAGAGATTCAGAGCAGCCCTGCGGAGAAGGACTTGGAGGTGCTGGTCGATGAGAAAATGAACATGAGCCGGCTTCAGTGTGTGCTTGCAGCCCCGAAAGCCAACCGTATCCTGGGCTGCATCAAAAGGAGCGTGACCAGCAGGTCAAAGGAGGTGATCCTGCCCCTGTACTCTGCTCTCATGAGACCTCACTTGGAGTATTGTGTGCAGTTCTGGTGTCCTCAACATAAAAAGGACATGGATCTGTTGGAACAAGTCCAGAGGAGGGCCACGAGGATGATCAAGGGACTGGAGCACCTCCCGTATGAAGATAGGCTGAGAAAGTTGGGGCTGTTCAGCCTGGAGAAGAGAAGGCTGCGTGGAGACCTCATAGCAGCCTTCCAGTATCTGAAGGGGGCCTATAGGGATGCTGGGGATGGACTCTTCATTACGGACTGTAGTGATAGGACAAGGGGTAATGGGTTAAAACTTAAACAGGGGAAGTTTAGATTGGATATAAGGAGGAAATTCTTTCCTGTTAGGGTGGTGAGGCACTGGAATGGGTTGCCCAGGGAGGTTGTGAATGCTCCATCCCTGGCAGTGTTCAAGGCCAGGTTGGATGAGGCCTTGGGTGATATGGTTTAGAGCGAGGTGTCCCTGCCCATGGCAGGAGGGTTGGAACTTGATGATCTTAAGGTCCTTTCCAACCCCAACTATTCTATGATTCTATGCTTCTTCTCCTCATGCAGCAGGATAATTGCTCTGGGAAAAGCAGATGCAACCCAGCACAAGCAAAGGCACAGGGGAGAAGGTGTTTTAGTTTTAGTTAGATGAGAAGGGGTAGAAGGAGTCAGGGACCCACATGCAGTTTTGTTCTCATGTCCTCATCTTCCTACCATCCTGACCTCTGGGTAAGCACATGCTCTGCTTGGGAGATGGAGAGCTTCTTTTTGTGGGTGGATTGCTCCCTCCTGACTCACAGTAGGAAGATTTAACAGTGCTTACAAGGCTAAACAGCAAAAAGTATGAAATTTACATGTGTAGTGCATGAAACGAGGTGAGGGTCCCTTTGATCCACTGTGTATCTCAGTATATCTAATGGTTTCTTTCCCAATGTCAGCAGCTTCTTCTCTGTACCATTCCCATATAACAAGCACCACATGCAGCTGTGAGAAGAGCTTATGCTGGTGCTTGTGGCTGGCAAGTGTACCTCCAGAGGCTGGCCAAGAGGAGCAGCACCAGTGATGAACCTCTGCCTTGTCTCCTTGCCTTCCGCCCAGCCCACACTACACCCCTCTTTGAGTAAGGCACTAGCTCAGACCTGAGGTTGTTACTAACATGTCTTTGCTGAGCTTGCCGATTGTGAGAGCAGTCTGCAGATCTGGCATGATAAGGAATTCTGATTAATGGGCTCTGTGGTAAAGTCACTTCTTTTTTTGTATACTAGTCACTGTTGATGACTCTTGAGAGGCAATGACTCTTAGTGTCTCCTGATCTCCCAAGCACACAAGTCAAAGCTTCTGAGCCAAATAAACAGTTCTCTCAGTGATAGACTACCCAGTAGAATAAAAAACAAGTTAACATTTTTAATTTACAAACCTTATCAAATGTGTTATTTAAAAGATAAGTAGAAGAAAGAAAAGAAATCAAATTTTCTTCAGTTAAGAGGCGATAGAGAGAGAATCTGTGCACTGGTGAAGACAAATTTAACATCAGCTTTCAAGTTTTCCCAAGCCCACAGTAAGAGCTCTGGCTGTCTAACCTTTCCCAGGGTAAGGGATGATTGTGTTTCCATGGAAGCCAAGTTTTGAAGTCGAGAGTGATTATTGCATCCTGGGGAGAAGGTCAAATGTGGGGAATTGCACAGGGCTGAAAACCCCAGTGTGGAGCTCAGGCAGGTTCAGCTGTGGCAATATCTGATCACAATGTGAATTGTGTGTCTAATACTTTGAAGTTATCTTTAAAAACCTTTTCTCATTCAAAACATACATACGTTCATATATATATGAAAATGCAATATTTTATTATGAAAAAGACTTTATTAACTTTTCAAATTCTCTTTAAGCCATGTCTCATTTTTCTGTACAGTTATGCCATCTCCAGAAGACATGAGAGTAAGGATAAGCCACCAGTCACTTGCTCTGTGGCTCCTTTGATCAGCTCTCTAGTGTGATTTAGGCATTAGTTTTACTTTCTCCTACTTACAAGGTAGTTCAGTGGCTGGAGAAATGCTACGGTCTGTAGCTCTGGCCCTCAGCCACAGCGAAGAACACAGCTCACTGCAGCTGTTCTTATTGATTTAATAGAGATCAGAAACTCTAAAATTAAGCATGAGACTGTGGCTGACCAAAAATACATAGCTAGAGCATTTTACCATTATGACAGATTTGCCCCTACACCAAAAAAATCAACTCTTTCAACTCCTGGACTTAACAGGTTTATAATCCACTTGAAGTCAAAGGAGGTGTAGGCATGTGGGACATGGGATGATCAGTGTCTAAGGAAGTTACAAGCAAAAAAATACAGAATCATCACATTAATTTCTCTAGAAACAAAATTCTGAGGAGTATTTAGGAACAGGTCCTTCAAGGCATCTGCTTTAAATAATACCTCATACTCTCACTGCCAAACAAAATAACCCCCCCTGGTTCCAACTAATATTCCACCATTCTTTTCTGTAGGAACTGTTAATACCATTGCTGCCAGAAGTTCACTGAGAAAGTGAATTCCCCTGGATACCGCAGGGAAAGGAAGTGAAAAGCCTCAGTCTTCTGACTGGTGCAAGGATAACACTGAAACTGAAATCAACTGTGTTCTGATTTCATCGTATCTCATAAAAGTATAACAGCGATATTATGAGCTAGTTCAGCTATTCCTTTGTTGTTTCACAAGTTATGTTACATCATAGTTAGGAGAGATGGAAACCTTCCAGAAGTTTTCTTATGTCCTCTCACTGTCGGTGTCTGACAGTTTTTGGAAGAAGTTGTGATGAAAAGCAAGTTTCGATGACTAACAAAAACCACAGGGCTGTTTAGATACACTTTGTTCCACCTCGAGTTATTCAGTCATAAATTTTCACTGTTAATCATTTGTACTTACTCTCTGCTTACTCATGGACATACTCCTCCCCTGCAGGTGATACAGCAGAAGAGGGGGACTTGTCTCTGGTTTACCAAGCAGCAGCTAGTGGCGACGTGAGCACACTAACTGCAGTGATTCGAGAAGATCCTTCCATCCTGGAGTCCTGCGACAGTGAGGGTAAATGAAGGCTGAGCTTCTTCTCATGGGATTAGTTGCTTCAGCTTGCAATGAAATTTTCCATTTTTTTATCCCGATTTTTGTGTTCAGCAAATTATATTTAGTAGCAGATATGGGAAATTTGAGTTATTCTTTGGAACATCCACTGAAAATGCTTAGTTTGGATATTTCTTTCCCGTTCAATTGTAAGATTTTTTTTTATATGGATACAAATACATTGTTGTGCTATAATGGGACAGTACTTTATCATGAATCTATTTTGTCATCTTTAAGGAGATGATGAGAAATTGCCGTGTCATATAAGGAAAGGCAAATGCTACACAGTCTGCACAATGCTAGAGTAGGGAATTTCACTCTTTTGCACTTGTGAAGTATATGTAGAGGCAGTTTGAATGATTTTGTGACATAACTGTTTAAATTACAAACTCAAAGGGTTGATTGCACAGCATGCAATAATCTAAATAATCTGTTTTATCTGTAAGACTGTGTTCCTCTTTCTTTGTGTTCAGGAAACAATTTAATGTTATTACAAAGTGCTGTCCATTGCTTAGGTTTTACATGCCTCTATTCCCCAGTTAGAGCCACAGATCTCTGGACGCTTCTCCCAAAGAAGACTTTGTTTATTCAAAGTATTTTTTTACTGCAGCTTCTTTAAAGGGTCCATATCAGCACTGTCTATTTTAATCTTTACCATCTTTTACCAAGTTACCAATTTTTCTTACACTTTAAGCCAGACATCCTATTATCTTTAAAACACCTATTGGGTCAGTAGGAAAAATACTTACTCAAGCTAAAATGCTCCCAGTCCAGGCCCTTAAGAGGAGAGGGACGGTATGAAGGGCTGTGGGCGGAGATGGACTGATCAGCAAATGGAAGTATTTCAGCTCCAGGAGAAACTTGTTTACTTCATTGCACATACAGATGTAACTAAACACCAGTCTTGAAAGACAAATGTATGGCTCATATCCTGCCTGTATGGCACAGTCTGCATAACCTCAGGTTGGGTAGTACACATTAGCTCAACAGTCTTACTGAATCCAGCAAGAATAATTACTCTTCAGTTGTGCCTGAAGTTTCTAGTAGTTTTACAGCTTTCAAAATTCATGTTTACTCCCAGTTTATTAATTTCAAATTGTTTTGGCAGATTCTGCAGGAAAATCTCTTGATGTTATTCACTAGTTAATAGAATGGAAGGAAGAGGAAGCAATTGAAAGATATCATAATATTTCATTATGAAATTTGAGTATTAGGCTTGAATGTAGATTTCAAAGTTTTTTCCAGCACAGAAATTGTTGCAGAATATTAAAAAAGTTCTCATGACAACACAAAAGAAAATATTCTAGGGCAAACACAGCCTTTAAAATAAGTTGCTGTCTGCGTAAAGTGTCAATTCACATACATGCACCTTTTCACAGGACAGGGCTTGATTTCATAAGTCTTTTCAGTATGTAGAGACAGGATGAAGCTGGGGTTTGTGAAAATTAGCCAAGCACCGTCTGGCTACTAGTCACTCTGCAGAATATCAGCCTCCAAAATGCTATACAAAACCAACAGTTCATATTGGAAGCTTGTCAACAGAAAAACACTTTTCCCTCCAGAAGCAGAGTTAATGAGGCAAAGCTTTTGTTAATGAAGTCATGCTCTTTTTAAAACCAGTGGTCAGTAACTGGCATAGCAGTTACTTCCTGCCTACGAAAAGCTGAGTACAGCTGTTGGAACAGTTGTCAGTGAAAGGATTTGTTACTCTGCCAGTACTAACATTAGCAACTAAGAAAATATCTCTAGCTTATGGCTTTGACAAAATACAAATTGTAAAAGAACATTTGACTTTCTTCCCCAGGTTGCACACCTTTGCTGCATGCTGTGTCAGGACGCCAGGTTGATACAGTGAAGCTTCTGTTGAAGATGGGAGCCAATATTAATACTCAAGATGCTTGTGGACGTACCAGTTTATGTCTGGCAACTTATCTGGTACCAAAGCTTGGGGGAGAAGTATGGAAAGATAGATGGAGTAAAGGGAGTAAATGTGCAGACCAAATAAGATTTCTGCTTATACTACAGAAAGAAAACAAGTGCAAAATATTTATAGACAAGAGTGAAATTTTAAATTTTACTATAATGCAAAGCTGATGATTATTGGAAAAGGATCAGGACTCGTGTCAGAGTGTCCTTTCTCTTTCAGGTTGTAAAATTAGTGCATGGTATGGGGATCTCACTAGGTCCAGGGTCCTCTGTGTGGTTTCAAGAAAGCCACTTACTTCTGTTGCACTTGCTGTTGCACTTGCTTCTGTTGCAGTAGAAAGTCCACTCTTATTCTCAATATGCAGATTAACTTCACCCCCCACTGTCAGCATCAGATATTTATGCTCCAGACAGAGCACTTCTATCTCAAAATCTGGTTGTCAGCAGGCATGTTTTACTGTGCACCACATGAGCCAGAGCATGATGGACCTTGGATGGCAAGGTTAAGAATTTGAGTTCAAGGTGGTGCAGGCACCAGTGCAGACACTAAGATCGTAAGCAATGCAGCCCCTGAGTCAACCCACATGCAAATGACAACTGGCAGCCATCCCGTTTTGAAGTTTGGGAAGGGAGATGTGGTGATCTATGAAGTACACAAGGATGATCCTCTTGTCTTTAGTCTTCTACTCCTTGCTGGAGGTAATTCAGAAGTCAGCGAAAGGATGGGAACCAAGTTAGTTGGGCAAAGGGCTGCCATTATTAGTTGGACAGAAAGGAGGAAGGACTGCTCACCTATGGTGCATAGTATGAGTTACGGCTGGATGACAGCCAGTTCATTTAAACAGATACCATGGCAGCCTGATTAAACTACTTCCCTTGCTATGGAAACATCTAGTTTCTTCCTGCAAGTTCAGGGCAAAAACAATGCTTCTGCTCAGCTACACAATATTAGGCCAGAAAATAAGTGTGGAAAATTGCAAAACAGGCAGTCTCATTGAGTGCAAGGAGGATGCCCCACTTTTTTGAGAATAAAAATTTCCTCTGCCAGATATTTTTAAAAAATCCCATAATTAGTGTCATGCTCCTTTTTTCCTTCCTCTTTTCCCAGAGGGGAAAAAATATTCTTTGGCAAAAAAAAAAAAAAAAAAAAAAAAAAGAAATGACTGGAAAAGATTTAAACCACCCAGGCTTTGAAGTTTCCATTTCTGTTTCTGTGATGAGTATAATCAGAGGTCTAGGGAGCATTTGGCTGTGATGTCTGTGCAGGGAACTGAATTCAGCAGAGCTCTACAGTCACAATCACATGCAGAATTTGGTGGCCTTCTACTTCCACCACCAGCTACAACAGGGCTGCTCTGATTCCATTATTCCACACCTCTTCCTTATAAATGCTGGTAATGTCAATCTGATGTAGCTCATACAGGAGGGAATGGCCTTTATCGATTGCCTGCAGAGGACTGAAAAAAAGGAAACTCATGCTTGATTTCCTGGGATTTAAGTATACACTGAAAGATTTATGCCGTTGCAACCAGGTTGTTTACTTGCTTTTTTGCTGAGTTGATCAATAGAAGGTTTTAGGCCAAGCACTGATTAATCCCATCTGTTTTGGTGTTGTTTTCAGTCTAATGCTGTCACTAGTTCAAACTTCTGCAATAGTGTTTGTAAGACCACACTCTAAGGCTTTTTACTATTGATCTGCCATCCCTGCTAAAATCTCATCAAGGAAATAAGATTAAGTGCTCATGTTTCCGGTTTAATCTAGCATAATTAAATCCACATGCAGGAATATGTGTAGCATTTCCTAGTGATCCTGCAATTAGCATGTTTTTAACCATTGTTTACTCTGGCAGTATTTGCCACAGCTGCAGAAAAAACAAAATGCAGTGTAAAGAAAACACAGAAATGAATGGCTGACCTAGTATGATGAGATTTGTGCTCCAATGGGAAACTGCTCTCAGTGCTGAGACCAGTTCCCCTGCTGGCAGAAACAGCTAACAGTAACACCTGGATGCCAGAAGCACCAAAGATCTGTCCTGATGAATTTCACCTTCCTCTCTGACATGCTGTGATCTCTTTTTTAGGGCTGGCTGGAAGGCTGTATCAGCCTGATCAGAAATGGTGCTAAGCAGAACATACCTGACAAAAACGGGAGGTTGCCACTGCATGCTGCTACTGCAGAGCCTGACGTGAGGTATGTCGCAGGCTCCAACAACATTTGCTGGTTGAATTTCAACAGGTAGTCACCAGCACAAGATACCCAGCCTAAAGGGGAGCCCCAGCCAGGAAGATTAGCTGTTACACTTGTGACTTGCTCCTTCGTTTAGTGGCTATTATGAAGGGGGCAGAGAACGAAAAGCACTGTACACGACTTGTGTAGCAGGGATATATGGTCAAGGTGAGGAGCTTGGTTTAAGATCACAGTAGCAGAAGGGGGAAAAAAAAAAGTATAAAAGAGGCTGCAACCCTGGGTTTCCCTTCTGCCATCTCCCCACAAGAAATATTACAAGATATTACTCCTTCTCTGGACTTCTCTGAGTAGCATGGCAAATGTGAGGAAAGTTCTCTACAAGATAACCTCTGTGAGAGCCCCAACTGTAAAGGAAGTGCTAGGTTTGGTGGACTGGCTCATTTTAAGCCACTTTTGCTGAACGTGGAATAACAACTACAGAGTGTCTTCACAAGAAGTCTTAAGAACTTCTTTGTGTCATTCCAGCTTCTGACAATAGGAAGGTCAAAACAAAAACAACAAATTGATTTGTACATTTGAATAAATTCACTTAGAAAAAGCTTTCACAAGTAAATAATGTCTGGAGGTATAAGATGACATTAGAGAGAGGTATAACTTTCAGTATACACAAAATTTTCATGCGACATAATCAATGAGACTACAGTTTTGCTGCTGTCACCACATCAGACCAGCTCAGACCTCCACTGATCTTGCTCCCTAGCCTTTTTCTAACAGCTTTATCAGTTTTTCACATTATCATTGCTTTTCATGCATCACTTGGAGAGAACAGCAAAAGTACAGGTCACTATCATTAAACCAAGCCTACAGGCAGAAGACAAGGTTTGTAAAATACTGTACAGGCTGCTATTTGAAAAGGAACAGTAAATTACAGTAATTTAACAATAATTTAACAGCAGCACACAGGGTTCCCTGAATGATTCTCTCATTCTCCAGAGGTACAGGCAGACCTTTACTCTGCACAGGAATTTACCAGTTCTGTGATTCCGTTTCCTGTGTCTTCTCACTGAGCTTGCACCAGGCCCAGAAGACATGCCTGGAGCACTGAGGGAGAGGCTTTTCCACCACAGTCATTGTCACTCTCTTGAAACCAAAGCTGCTGTCAAAGGGTATATGCAGTGGCCAGCTATGAAATGCTTTTTCAGCTGAGTTTGAAAGCTTGATCAGCCATTTTATGTATTGTTTTAGTAACTGAATTACCTGCTTCAGCACGTTCTACAGAGCCTAAGAGGAAAGGTAAACAGAGAATCCATTCCTGGTCTATGCCTTTTAAAGCAGATATCACAGAAATTTCAGCTGCATGGTGGAATATCCACATATTGTAGTGGTAGCACTTATGTTCCCATAATCTCTAAGGATATAAGTGACCCAGAGTTTGCTGTTGATAGAGATTGTACCCTAAAAGAATGAGATTTCCTTCACATCACTGGTTTTATTGATGATATCTGGGGTTAAACAGAACCATGCATCAGATTATAAAACTGTGATAAATGGGTTTTACCAGCATATTATGGTTATTCAACTTCTTTGCTGCTCACTACTTCTTTTTTACCAAGACCTGTATTTCTGAGACTCTTGAGTCATTGTGCCAAATGACCACAAAATGTCTCTTCCATTTTATAAATTTTTACCAAGCTAATCACAGCAATTCTAAAATACCATCCTTTTTAGAGTTCCTATAGTATGACTCCATTATGCCATCAGCTGTATGATTCAGAAAAGGATGTGCAACACCTTTTTTCTACAAGTATTTGTATCCATATACAAATGGATTTGAAGTCCAAGCAAAGCACTGGCATCTGACCAGTCTTCACCCTTTAGGAATATTCTCGTTAGGAAAATATTCAGTTTGGATTTCTGGCTCCTGAAGACGGTGTTACCAATCACTAAGACTTTCACCTGCAGAATTGCTCAAATCACCCCTAAGCAACCACAAATGTCTTTATTTTGAATAAATTAAATTATCTAGTTGTCATTACCAGGGAGGAAAAAAACATGCTTGACTTGATCTGGTCCACACACCAGAGGACAGTTCCATACAGAAAACATACCGGAAGATGTTGAAGATTGTCCTGATGAAAAGCAGCACAAGATTTTCATTCTGCCTCTTATGCATGTTAATAATGCATGATTGTACACATTTATCTGTGCACTGTCAGTACATTTATCAGAGTTTCATTCTTGACACTTCATCATCTTTTGATTTCCTTGCAAAACAGTATGTCTTTAAACACACTCATATTTTGAAGGTTTCTAGCACATTTACACCTTCAGATGAGACACTGATTTGCAGTACGATCTTACCTAGGAATCCACTAAGGATCAATCTTACCTAGGAATCCACTAAGGATCAATCTTCCCATTTGCCAGAATCATAAGAACTGTACATCCGCATTAGGATCTATGCTATTTGGTTTTGTTGTAGCCTGTGACAGGATGGTCCTTTACCAAGATCTAAACACTTAGCATCCTACTATAAAAAAACACCTTCACCAAACCTATAGTGATTTTAGAATGTCTTCATAGGGATGAAAGGAAAAGAAAAACCAAATCTATGCAGTGTTAAAAGTATTATTGCACTTCGATAATATTTCATGAAACTATTTTATTGTAACTGCTCCCTCCACTAGAGAGGAGTGTTTGTGGTCTATTATTCTATAAAATGTGAATCAATTCACTGCTTTATTTTATATCATAACAATGTCCTATCCCAGCAGACAAACTCCAAGTCCTTGCAAAATACTGTTGGCTTGTGTGTGTAAATATATAGTATGCATGTACACACGCACAATCTTGTACACAGCATCACATAAGTCCAAGAGTTAAGGAGAGTGAAAGATCCTCTTAGAAACTGGTCATTAGCATTTCTCTTTGTTAAAAACTTCATTAAATAGTATGACAATGAATTGCTAAGCTACCAAAAATTTCACACATGCATAGTATTACACACTTTGGTTCCAGTCTGGCAATCAGCACAAGAATTCTTCCTAGGGGATCTGCTTTTAATTCCCAGCATTAAACTTCTGTTTTTACAGTAAGCCATGAAGTCCTCTTGTCTTCTCTAATATGACAAAGCACAGACTTGTCATAGGTCAGACATTCAGACCTATGCCTATCACTAATACCGATTTTTCTTGAAATTGCATGTTTCATTTCTCAAAAAAATGTCTTTTTTTCAGGTTTAGTAGGGACAACAGCACACTGATTATGTCATTGCTTCCACAGGCTTCTGAACGTGCTTCTGCAGAAGTCAAATCTTCATGAAATTAATCATCAGGACAATGAGGTGAGTGATTTTTGTGCTACAAGCCACAGTCTCAGGCTTTGGGGGGCATACAATTCATGCTGCTCAGAAAAAGTCCACTTTAGTATCAATTTTACAATGAACCTATGCACTATGCAAAAATTTCTAGAATGCTTTTGCTGAAATCTGGAAAGCATTATGTCATTTTTCTTACTATACGTGATTCACCGTTAGGTTAATATACCTTTTCCATACACTGCCAACTATGAGGTACACTGAATCAGTCTCTTAACTCAACTTGCCAAGATGTTAATTGCTTTTGATTTTTCTGAAGTTAGACACTGGACTAAACTGTCACCTTTACTAGTCATTAAACTGCTGTTATTAGCAAAAATATTGGCAAGCTGGCATTACACAGAACAGTCATGGAAATAAAAAAATTATACTGTCTTCTGATCCTTAAAGAACTGTGCCCCGCATAAATAAATATATATATATATATATATATATATATATATATATATATAGTATTCATAGAGGAGTATTAACTTCCCAAATGTTTTCTTCTCCTAATAGAGAAGCCAAAACAAGAGAGAGACCCTGGATGTCTTTTTGTATGTTTCTCTTCACTCTAACAATTGTTCAAGAATGTACCTCTTCTCCACTGTGCCAGAGCTGCCACAGAGTTGTTAATTTATCCCGTTCTTATGAACCTTACTTATCCAGTGGATGGTTTGCTGATGCTGCTCACAATCTAAACCAGATGTATGCTTTGTCTTGGTATAGAATTATGTTGCTAATGAATTGCATGGAACTGTGGATCATAATTTCAAGCTGTAATTTTTTGCTGTAATGCACAGCTACATGAAATCTGGAACTTTTAGTCCATCTCACTGTCATTTGGCACTGAGAAGATACTTGTTCAAGTGTGAGTACTAAGCCCTGAACATTTGTTTTTTCTGGGAAAGTATGGATCCTCACAAATGATTTCAGCTAACAGAACTGTTCTTTTGGCATAAAACAGTTCACTTTTCCCATCTTACACTTGAGAAAAACACCCCAATGAATGAATGAATGCATAAACAATACGAAATACATCTGGAGGTTTCACAGTTTCCACAACTGCAGCTTTCTGTGGGTTTACTTATGAGGCCTGTGAGATAACTATGTGAAGAAACTTCCCCTGAATAAGCCTCAAATCTGAGCAAAACAAGTGTCACACTTTATTTCCCACAGCCATTTCTTGGGTTTTCTCCTTTTATGTTCACTATTATTTACAAATGTTTCTTTGGCTGTCTCACCTTTAATATAATATTCTGCTAGACCTTCCGCTTTGACAGTTCTGATATCACTCTCATGCTTCCTCTCACCAACAGTAACCTACCTACAGATGCCATTCAAGGGTGGTATCACCATGCATAGATAGATGGGTGCAGGCTAGACAGCTGTTGCCCACTGCAGCAAGCCCACACATGTGAGCTGCTGCTACAAACAGCTCAATGCTCTTTGCCCAGATGGGTGCTCCAAAAGGACACATGGAATGTATGAATTATTAGAAAAGAAATAGAGAACAAACCAGGAAGCAGTATTATGCTTGAATGTCAGCTGGAGAAGTAATCTGAAAAGGAATATAGGAGAATAAAAATCAACAGAAAAAGACTAGAAAGACAGCAGTAGTTGTTGATAAGCTTCCTTTCATGGGCAGGCTAACTAGAACAAATGAACAAGAACAGGATTTTCACCTTGGCAGCTATGCCAGAGGGGTTATATAAATCCATGGCACAATAAACTTCATGGACAAGTTTGAAAGGTAATTATTATTAACTGGTCTTTTACATCTAAATTGATGGGGACACCTACAGAAATTATCCAGCAGCAGTTAAAAAAAAAAATTAAAAAAAAATTACATTTTACTCTTTGCATCATTAGCCTGTGGAGGTCTGGATTTCATAGGAAGCCTTCAGTCTGATGTCGAAATTTTAGGTGACTGTATGTCAAGCCTTGTTTCTTATAATTTCTCCATAAGCATCTGCTACTGACCTCTCTGAGCTGTGTTCCTGGACTAGAGAGAACTTTGATCCCCACCCACAGTTCTCACACTCCTATGCTACAGCTGACTGCTGGTTACCACAGTAGAAACAGAGAGAAAGTTGATTTTTCAAGGATATTTTGTCCCCGTCAATAGACTGAGAGGGGATGACAGAAACCTGGCTTGGTACACTGTATCTTCTTCTCTTTCAGTGTTTTTTACTGCTGTCCTAGACTAGGGGTAAGGACCTATTTCCTAGCTGGAAATAACTTCAGTGAAGCCTCACTTCACAGCACTCAGATACTGAGTGTCCATCAACAGTACTAAGTCTCTTCTGTCAAAACCTTGGTCCACTGATGTCAGTGGCAGATCTTCCATTAATTTCAGTTAGGGAAAGATTTTACCCACATTTTTGGCTTTACAAAAGCTACCCCCCACACTGAAGCCCTAACTAAAACCAAAACTGCTCTTATTCAACTGCTCTATTTTGTCATCGCCTATACTTAAGACATCTGGAGACTTGAAAAGCCCTCTACAATACCTAATGAGTGAGAGAAACTACTGTTAGGGCATTCAAGCTTTTAGTTAGAAAATCACTTCTAAGAACTCCCAGTATTAATGCACAGATAAACTGCACAAACATCTTATAGCTTGTACATTGTGAACAATTGGCTGTATGGGGTCCTATGCCATGTTTTAATTTAATGTTCCACTCCACATTTTTTGCTTTTTATAATTTTTGAAACCAGACAAGACCCTTGAAATGCTTTTTCCCTGATAAGAGATAGTAAAGAACTACCCTGTCCAAAGTAATATGCTACCACACCTGAACAACAGTAGCAGTTTTTAAGAAACACATTTAGAAAGTAACTTTATATAAAGAATCTTTACCATTACGGATGTACACGTGTGTGTAACAGTGGTGATGACAGTGCAAATACACGCCATGAATTCTCTGATCTATCAAGACTGAACACAGCTAGGAAGGGAAGAAAATGCAGGTCAATAGCTGCTTTGTTTTCTCTCCAAACAACAAAAATAACAAGTTTAAAATGTGACTTTTTTATTGACATTTTTTAGTGCCAGCTAGAATACTAGCTTATAATATTTATTTTGGATCCAAGATAAGACCTAAACCAAACACCACACTGTGTCGTGTCAAACACAACTCTAAAATGGACTTTTCTGACAGGATACAAACTGAGCAGTGAGGAACTACCCCCCCCAGCTGTCATGGTCCTGACTACCCATTAGTTAGAATAGGCTACAGTCACGTACAAAAAGCACATTCGCATTTTTATCCATGTTCTGTAATAACCTCAAAAAGCTTCCACCTTGTAACTCCACTAATTCAGAAGCTGTTACTAATTATTCCAAATCAAGAGCAAGAGGGAAGAGTCTATAAGTCCCAAACAGTTTCAGAACTGTCTAGCTTATCTAGAGACTTGAGGAGAGACTTGAGGGTCCTACTGAGTGACAATAATTTCCTCCTTTGGGTTTGTGGCTTTCAGGGAATGACTTCACTTCACTGGGCTGCTTTCCACAACAGGCCCCAGCACACGCAGACTCTGCTGCACAGGGGAGCAGACCTCACTCTCGTGGACAAAGACCTCAAAACAGCTTTGCATTGGGCGGTACAGGTGAGGCATGGCCATGGTTTCACCAGGCAGTTGCTTGAGCTGAGCTGGCTATCGGGTGTCTGAAATGCTTCAAAAGCAATTATTTTGGCTGTGAAATTAGGAAAAGTGATGAGAGGAATGCCTACTAAAACCCCAGCATTTTGCCAGTGGCCACAGATCAAGGGCCTAACATCTTTGTTGGAGAGTACAGAATACTTAAAATAGGCTCAGCTCTGTTGCCCTAAACAAAGTTATCATTTATCTCAATGAGAGCACATGTATGCCTCATGTTGAACTCATGCTTAGATTTTTTCACCAAATCAGGGTTGCAGAAATCAGCAGCTCAAATGCTCTTGCCAAAAGCCTTTAGGAATAAAATGATGTAAATACAAGTTAAAATGTATTTCAACAGCTATAGTTGCAGAATAATTAGCTGAAGGGTTGAGGCCCTGCTTCTCTGGAGGTTAAGGCAGACAAGGAAGCAAACACATTTCCTGTTGAACTGTATGTTCCTATCTTCTATGCAAAAAAAAAAAAAAAAAAAGCCAAATTGCTAAAAATTACTCAGGCAGTAATTAGGAAAAAAAAAAAAAACCCAACAAAAAAAAAAAAAAAAAAAAAAAAAAAAAAAAAAACAAAAAAACACAGGTTGAATGTGGCATTAGATACAGTACTATGCAATTGGTAGGAAGTGGCATAAAATATAGCCAAATTTACTAAGTTATTCTCAAACTTTACTGCAGAAAACTTCCCAGATGAAATTATATGTTTTTACTTGCTCACTTGCCATAGCAAGTTCCGGTATCAATGTTCAAAACACCTGCACAACAGATAACCAGAAATAGAACTAGCATAAAAATCCAGTAACGTTTGCCTACAGTGACTAAATATTTGCATCCTTACCTTTTGGTCCAAGTTCACTTGTTTTAAAAAATGTGTCAACAAAGAAATTTAAAAGCTCTGAACTGCCGCATGTTATATTTGTAAATGAGCAAGGACACCTAGAACAAATAATCTGTTTCCTTCGACCATGACCTCACACAGAAGGTTCTTGTACAATAGGCTCAACTTTTGCTTTTCTTAAGCAAAGGTATATTTTCGCCTCTGCAACTGGTATTGTTTCAACATTAGTTTTGTTATTCTTTGACCCCATTCAGTCTGAAACTCAGCTACATCCCCTGTTATTTTGCCTTTGGAGACTAAATGTATCTACTCTAAAACCTGTTCTTCATTTTTACTAGGCATATTCCAGTGCAGGCTGCTTCCAGTGGGAAATCTCTGAAACTCATGCAAGCCCCTACAGGCTATGCAGTGGTCTGGATCAGAGTTCTGGGAATAAGCTTTCTCTCAGATAGAAAGACAATGGGGAATTCCCTTCATATCATGATCTTCAGAGTTCCTCTCATACCTTAATCTCTCTCTGATTCTGTATTTCGTAAACCTCATTAATGTAATTGCACGATTAACTCCCACTTCCACTTTTCTGTCACAAATATGCAGAATAACTCTTGAGAAAGGGGGAAATTAAAACCTCACAAAACCCACTTGGACTAAGATAGAGGCACATCACAATTCCCTTTTGTTTCTCCCTGTAAGTTACTCCCAGAAATCAGAGGAAATAACATTCTTCTTGACAGATTTCTGCTATGAAGCCTTATAAATTGCTTCTTCCGTCCACATACTTCTCCATATTCTAGGCCCAGAAGGGATAGTTGAAATACCAGAGCATGGAACAGATCCATTACCGTTTCTCCTACTCAGGCTTGGCCAAGAAAAATTGTTTTCAGCCGGTGCTCTCTGCTGCCCTGTTAGAGCCAGAAGAAATAGACACCATGGACAGGCATGACTTTCTCTTCTATGACAGAGAGCAGAACAACAGCTCTGCTAGGTGGGATTATTGTTTTGTCTAATTGTCTCCTCTGTGGCTGCTGGAAAGGCGGGATTTTTGCTTTAAGAATCGTATTAATATCTTCAGGGCACAAGAGACTTACATTGCTCAGGCAGTACCAGCTGCAGGAGCTGTTTTTGGCTGAATAGGGCCCTGTTTTAAATTTCATTTTTAAAAATACATCAAGGGGGAGACCAGGCACTGAAACTTGTTGCAGGAAAGAGGCAGTTTGTGCACACTGGGCTGAAACACAGACCAGGACCACATAAAATCCCCTGGCTGCCATTTGAAACCAGATTCTCAGGCATGTTTCATGTGAAATAACTGTTCCACAGTGGCTGTTTCAAAGACCATATGTTTGGTACTTGGTCTTCAATCAGACAGATGGTGGCTGTGGAGGCCCAGCCACATAACTTGCCCGCACCAAAGTCTGCTCTGTTGAAAAGCTGAAACGTCCTGACACTCAAGTTCACACCTTCAGTGCAAATGTGTTACAGTGGTGTCAAAAACACAGACCGTTCTGTTTTGGAGTGAGAATTATCTCGTGTCACACTTTTTACACATATAATATTTTTATGAGTTGGTGCAGATAGGACTATATCTGAAGTGTTTCAGGAGACATTTCTCTCGTTTCATTTCAACCAGCAATAATTTCTGTAATGAAAACGCACCTCTGTAACAACAAAAAAAGTTCCCTGGTACTGCAACGAAGTTTAAAGCCATTCTAGCAGATGTAGATAATGGTGTAATTGAAATCCTAGTAGGATATAGTGCATACTATATGGAATACACTGTCATACATACTACTGTATCACAATAAAATTAGTAATATCTTGGAAATAGCTTGAGAAGTTTAGGCATCTTTCTGCATTGCCTTGCCAGTTTTAATAATTTTTACCAGAAAATTCTTTGTCTCTTTTTTAAAACTCTGTTTCCCAAAGTCATATGATTACGGAAAAATATCAGCTTTCATTTAAAGAATAAACAAAAAATCAATTAAAGAGTTCTTCTCAAGTGAAGAAATGCAAACTTTTAGAGATAAAAAAAAGGCAACTAAAAAGAAGGTATTAAAAATTATATTCCGCCATGCAAAACTGCTCTGATGATTTTTAATAGGTTGATTTGGAGTGCAAAGTTTCAAAAAATTACGAGCCTGCATGTTTGCTCCACAACAACAATGCAATTATTTCAGCACCCTGATTCCTGAGAGGAAAGCAAAATATTTGCATATCTTAAACACATCATAAAAGTGTAGGCAATTATCCATTTGTGTTTGGCTGAGCAAGTGTGGCAGGCTCTGTAATGATTTGGGAGGTGAAAGCACTCTTAAATGCCAGGGTCTCTAGGAACAAACCTCTTCACTGATGCTGGGCACCTCAAGGACACAGCTGGCCACACAGCCAGGGCAGAGGAAGGGAACAGGGAAGGCAGCAATGCCTCAGGACCGGGGTCTTTCTTGAGGGATCTGTGTACTTTCTGCCCAAGCACCCTGTTTTTTTTCTGAGGGCTGCCTATAGTGGAAAGATTCAGAGAGACTTCCAAAAACTTCATTAAATTTAGTGGGTGTTTCTCCATGTGACATGTTTGTTCTTCAGTTGGGCCAGAAAAAGTGTATTCACTAGGCACTGTTCACAGTCTGATTGGTTTCAGGCAGATTTCTTTCTCTGCAGAACTGTACTTGTTTTCTCCTTGTTTCCTCCTTGTTTCATGCAGTTTTCTTGAAATAGCTAGAAAGAGTAGTGATTTCTTTATTTATCTCACTAAGCTTTAAAGACAATTTTGACAGTTAGCAAACAAATGACAAATAGGTTCTATGTGCATTTGTCAAGTATACCCTTAAGAAATCCCTTTGTTGTATAAATATTGTCATTCCAGCAAAGGTACAGCTGTCACTCTTTGCATAGCAGGACGGCTCTATATAGAGTGAGCTGTCAAGTTGCAAAACAAGGAAGAGAGTTTGCAAATAGCTTTGAGTAAGAAATAAAATTGCTCCAGTACCATCAGAAGCTTCTTCCAAAAAGTGCACTAAATATTTGTGACAATGTCAGCAATAGCAAATTGAATGTGCTTTAGCCTTGAGTCTGGCACCAAGGCTAACTATCACAGGACAGCCTGTGTCCCTACCAACTAATTAAGCTAAACTCTTATTCTCTAAAACAGGATGGTCATAGTATGCAAACCACTTATTAGAAATGGTCTGCAGCTCATGCTAGCTCCTGAACTACATACGGGAACTGGTAGGGAAAGTGTTAATTGACCCAATACAAATCCATGCCAGGGAGGAGTTCTAAAATTTTGCTGTATACAGCTGAGTTCTGATGCTCAGAAATGTTCCCTCTTGCTACTTAGTTTTTCAGAAGAGCTGTAACCTGCTTCTCTGGTTTCATTTGTGTCATTTCATAAGCCAAAGCCCCTTTTGCGACTTGTACAGGGTACAGCAGTATTGATATACAAACACATCAGTACAACCAGATCATCAGAAAAAAATGCCTTTACCTGAAATAATTGACTGCCAACATGCTGTTGACAATGTAATTATTCATGCCAAATCAAATTTCCAAGGAAATCAATTGCAGAACTCCCACTGAGCATAGTAGGAATTTGTCTTAGGCAAAACCTGTAGGTAAGTACTGGATAATTACCAGACCTCTTCTCAGAACAGACTATGTGTAACTCTACAAGTGGATGCCAGAACATGAGTAATGTACGTGCACCACTTTTTGCATATCTACAAATGTCCTGATCTCCTATGCTTGGAAAAAGGCACTGGAAGAGAAATGCTTCAATTTCTCTGCTAGTAGTAAAGAAAAAATCCTTATTCTACTGCAGAATAAAAAATGACCTTTTTTTCAAAGTATGCAAACAGCTCATCCAGACAAATTAGCCCTCCTGACAACGTACTAGCAGGAGAAAGCTGCCAAGTAATATTAGTCATAGCCATAGTCATTTAGACAGTAAATCACGCACTTATTATAGAAGTCTACAAGTGAAAATCATTCTCAGAGAATTGGCCAGTATTTCATGCAGTTTCTAGTTTGAGCTAAGAGAAGGTAGGAGAGGGAGGAATACGTGATAACTATAGGGGCATGCCTCCATGACTGCCTTTGTCACTTGGTAGCTTTTTCCAGCACCC